CCCGACGCGGAGCGTTAACGGCCGCGTCGGCTTTTTCAAGTTGGGTGAGGTACTAGTGGTTTAACAGGGTCCTTTGCCAACACGGGTCTGAATGTGCGTGTGAGTGGGTTGAGTGGGTTGTGTGTGCTGTGTGAGAGCGTGTTGGCCAAGGTTTTTGTTTCCCAAGGTCCAGGGTATTGTAGAGATCAAGGACCAACGGACCTAGCTCAGTTCGTACATCCATGAATTGTTGACATTATTGACTTACCATGAGGGCACGGGTGTGCAGCCCCTATTTTGTTGTTGATGTGGTTGGGGAGGGGTAATTATGTTGTGACAGCGTGGCGACATGGAAAGCGAAGGAGGCTGTGGCAGATGGGAGGCGCCCACCGCCGGCGCTGGAAGACTCCCACGAGGGAGCCCACCGCACCCTCACTTTTATGCTCCTTCCGATTATTGGGTTTCCCGATTAGGGGATTGTATGTCGGCTTTCTGTAAAAGGAAAGCTTCCTAGAGTCCCCCTCGGATGCCCCCATGACCGTTGTTGTTTCTAGTATAACCGTTGAGTGTCAAGGAGGGACGAAATTGTGTGGCGGTGTCAAGACTGTATGGCCGTTGATGGTTCCGATAGTGTCCCTCCGTTAAGTGGTCGTTGAGCGGTCCCGCATTTGAGCGCTCAGAGAAAGGGGCAAAGGGTCCGATCCCCGGTGGTAGTAACCGTGAAACATCAAAGGTGGTTGTGCGTTGTTGAGCGCATCGATCCCGCATGGGGACCCTCCCGATCGCGTCACACAAATTTTGACATTTTAGGATGCAAAATATTTTTGGAGTAATGTCGCTCCGGCCAAGTACGCCAACCATACTTCTTACGAACCCCTATAACACGATAGGGTCATGTGAGGTACAACTTACCTCCACCTGTGGGAGTTGTCACCATCCTTAGGTGGAATATCCCCGTCGAGCTACTGACCCACGTACGAAAGTTTTCACGTGTGGTCGCAGAGGTGGATCATCCGAGGGCGTTTCTCGTTTGCTGTAGCATATGAGGTACATGCGGTTAACGTCCGAATCGAACCAATACGTGAATCGTCGCTTGGGGCGTTGACCTCCCAAGCACGATCCTACGTTGGTCGACAAGGACGACCGATCTAACCACGAGACTTTGTTCTCAAAAGAAACTCAACCTTATGTACAAATCGCGCCTATTCTTTTTTTTTCGCCCAACCCATATTTAATTTACGGTATGAACGGACAGATGTCACGTGTGAGACTTAATATAAATAGTGAGGCAACGCGAGTCCTCTCATATCGACTAGACATGCGTGAATACATAGTCAGTCAAAATAATGGTGTACTCTATCGTGTTCATGACCATACGCCCCTCAGTGGTTTCCAGGGTCACATTCGACATTCAAGTGTCAGCTGACACGCGTCTTAAGTGGTTGGTCTTCTTACGCTAAACAATCACAGATGCGGTTGTGAGAGACGGTTACTGAAAACCTCAATTTTCAGACCACTTGTCAGGCCATTTACAACAAAACCCAAGGGTCATTATAACCAAACTTGCCACCAATTCATAGAGAGGAGATCATACTAACTACTTAAAAAAAAAAAAAAAAAAAAAAAAAAAAAAAAAAAAAAAAAAAAAAAAAAAAAACCTTTAAAAACCTATAAAACAGCAAGGCAAAAGTGTGTTTTCATGCAAAATTCACTTATTTCAGTTTTCAGGATTTTCAGGATTTTTTAGGGCTAACCAAAACAGTCAACTTCAAGAGCCCTGCAAACACCAAACTTGGCACACACAGACCTTGACCAAAAATAAAACAGGGCAAAAAAAAAAAAAAAAGATAAAACTATAAAAAAAAAATCTCCAATGCACTTTTCAGGGTTAAAGGGGTTAAACAGGGTTGAAAAATGGGGGTCCGTTTGTGGCGGTTGCACGTCCTTCCCTCTTCTGCGAAGGTCCCTCTTCTGCACCCTTCGCAGAAGAGTGGTAAGGGTTGCTCTTCTAGCACAAAGTCGTGTGTTGCGATTAGCGATACCTTAACCTTCTTGTCAACAACATCCACATTCTATCAAACAACTTTCAACGAGAAGTACAAGTCGTTGCATACGCATGAATATGCGACTACTTGTAACTCAAGCCTATGCGTAACGCGCACGTGCGTTCGACTGTAATAGCCGTGGGCACAAAACAAAAGTGGTTAAATCATTTAGACAAAGGAGTTGTGTAGCATCAGACAATCACTCTCACAATCTGTGATCCGGCTTATTCAACAATATTCTCACAAACACAAGCAATTATTGTAACGCAAATCATTATTTTTTATGCATATATGCGATCACACAAAGTGAACAACAGCATGTCATGCACTAAAGGGGTCAACTTTACCGTTTCTTCTGACTCATACTCTTCCTTACGAACACAAACCCCAACCATTTTCCACCAATCCACAACAAGGTACTTGGTCTTTAAAAATTATCATTTATAGATAAGTATGGGTGATAATTAAAAAAAACATATAAGAATTCAAGGGACTAAGACTTTAGGTTGAAATGAAGAAGCAAGTAGAGTTGTGTCGTAAGCCGACCTGATATCAAATGATAACAAAAGATAAGTAATTCTTTAAGGATTAGACTGAAACTAGTCGAATCTTCAGTTAGGCGCAAATCTGTATCATAGTACAAGCCAAAAAAACAATGTTATTCTTGAAAAACGTGGAGAGAATGCTCCATACTGTAGCTTAATTCCACCATTAGTCTCCTTTCTACATCTCCCTAGTCCGTACCAGAAATTACTGAAAATTTTGGCAGCATCTCCACTAAGTAGGCTGAAATATTAAAATTATCATAATCAAAATTTTAACTAACTCCTCAAATTTACAAAAAAATTGTTGCAATTCCTATAGGAAAGTCAACTGCCAAAATTTTTACAAAGCTAAATTAAAAATTTAAAGTGCAATTAGACTTTCCAAAGACAAATTTTGTTTTAACTCCTTGAATTAACAAAAAAATTGGAATACTTCCTCTATAAAACTGATATCGCAAGATTTTTACTAAGTCAAAATTGAAATTAGATTTTAGTCTGACTTTGCAAAAATAAAATTTAACTAATTCCTTAAATTACTAAATATTTTGGCAGCACTTCCATTAGGAAAGTAAACTACCAAAATTTTTACTTGGTTACAGATGAAAAACAAAGTGCAACAGACCTAGGGTAAGTTATGATGCTTAACTTAGTTGTCAAAACTAAAGATTGCCCTCATGATACTTTTTTTTTAGGTACTATCATGAATCAATTTTTAACTCCGACTCTCAGTAAGATGATCTTACCTTATCCCAAACTTTCCCCTTTATTCATCAATAATCTCCTTATCGTTCCGACACTTGACGATCATTTAAGCGACTAACCTATTAAAAGATGCCCCCAAAAACAAACTCATAGAGAACGCAAGTAAGTACAACAACATCTCTCACCACTCCGCAAGTTCGCCATCAAATACTTAGTTCATTTGACCCTTAGTTGAATAACCCCTATACCCTTTCTTACATAAAAC